GCTCCAAACTCCATGGAAAGACTCCTTAGGGCCCCTCGAACACATTCCAACTCGAGTTAGAGACAGATATATCAATACAAAGAAATTCATATTTTGGTCAAATTTCATTAAAAATGTAAGGCTAACCCCTTGCAATTTTTGTCAATTTTGGTCAAAAAATGAAATTGCTCCAAACTTCATGGAAAGACTCCTAAAGGCCCCTCGAACACATTCGAATTCGAGTTTGAGACGGATATATCAATACAAATAAATTCATATTTTGGTCAAAATTCACTAAAAATGTAAGGCTAACCCCTTGCAATTTTTGTCAATTTTGGTCAAAAAATGAAATTGCTCCAAACTTCCTTGAAAGACTCCTTAGGGCCTCTCGAACACATTCCAACTCGAGTTAGGGACAGATATATCAATACCAAGAAATTCATATTTTGGCCAAATTTCATTAAAAATGTAAGGCTAACCCTTTGCAATTTTTGTCAATTTTGGTCAAAAAATGAAATTGCTCCAAACTTCCTTGAAAGACTCCTTAGGGCCTCTCGAACACATTCCAACTCGAGTTAGAGACAGATATATCAATACAAAGAAATTCATATTTTGGCCAAATTTCATTAAAAATGTAAGGCTAACCCCTTGCAATTTTTGTCAATTTTGGTCAAAAAATGAAATTGCTCCAAACTTCATGGAAAGACTCCTTAGGGCCCCTCGAACACATTCCAACTCGAGTTAGAGACAGATATATCAATACAAAGAAATTCATATTTTGGCCAAATTTCATTAAAAATGTAAGGCTAACCCCTTGCAATTTTTGTCAATTTTGGTCCAAAAATGAAATTGCTCCAAACTTCATGGAAAGACTCCTAAAGGCCCCTCGAACACATTCGAATTCGAGTTTGAGACGGATATATCAATACAAAGAAATTCATATTTTGGTCAAAATTCATTAAAAATGTAAGGCTAACCCCTTGCAATTTTTGTCAATATTGGTCAAAAAATGAAATTGCTCCAAAGTCCATGGAAAGACTCCTAAAGGCCCCTCGAACACATTCCAACTCGAGTTAGAGACAGATATATCAATACAAAGAAATTCATATTTTGGCCAAATTTCATTAAAAATGTAAGGCTAACCCCTTGCAATTTTTGTCAATTTTGGTCAAAAAATGAAATTGCTCCAAACTCCATGGAAAGACTCCTAAAGGCCCCTCGAACACATTCCAACTCGATTTAGGGACAGATATATCAATACCAAGAAATTCATATTTTGGCCAAATTTCATTAAAAATGTAAGGCTAACCCTTTGCAATTTTTGTCAATTTGGTCAAAAAATGAAATTGCTCCAAACTCCATGGAAAGACTCCTAAAGGCCCCTCGAACACATTCCAACTCGATTTAGGGACAGATATATCAATTTAAAGAAATTCATATTTTCGCCAAATTTCATTAAAAATGTAAGGCTAACCCCTTGCAATTTTTGTCAATTTTGGTCAAAAAATTAAATTGCTCCAAACTTCCTGGAAAGACTCCTAAGGGCCCTTCGAACACATTCCAACTCGATTTAGGGACATATATATTTATACCAAGAAATTCATATTTTGGCCAAATTCCATTAAAAATGTAAGGCTAACCCCTTGCAATTTTTGTCAATTTTGGTCAAAAAATGAAATTGCTCCAAACTTCATGGAAAGACTCCTAAAGGCCCCTCGAACACATTCGAATTCGAGTTTGAGACGGATATATCAATACAAAGAAATTCATATTTTGGCCAAATTTCATTAAAAATTTAAGGCTAACCCCTTGCAATTTTTGTCAATTTTGGTCAAAAAATGAAATTGCTCCAAACTCCATGGAAAGACTCCTTAGGGCCCCTCGAACACATTCCAACTCGAGTTCGAGACAGATATATCAATACAAAGAAATTCATATTTTGGTCAAATTTCATTAAAAATGTAAGGCTAACCCCTTGCAATTTTTGTCAATTTTGGTCAAAAAATGAAATTGCTCCAAAGTCCATGGAAAGACTCCTAAAGGCCCCTCGAACACATTCGAATTCGAGTTTGAGACGGATATATCAATACAAATAAATTCATATTTTGGTCAAAATTCACTAAAAATGTAAGGCTAACCCCTTGCAATTTTTGTCAATTTTGGTCAAAAAATGAAATTGCTCCAAACTTCCTTGAAAGACTCCTTAGGGCCTCTCGAACACATTCCAACTCGAGTTAGAGACAGATATATCAATACAAAGAAATTCATATTTTGGCCAAATTTCATTAAAAATGTAAGGCTAACCCCTTGCAATTTTTGTCAATTTTGGTCAAAAAATGAAATTGCTCCAAACTTCATGGAAAGCCTCCTAAGGGCCCCTCGAACGCATTCCAACTCGATTTAGGGACAGATATATCAATACAAAGAAATTCATATTTTGGCCAAATTTCATTAAAAATGTAAGGCTAACCCCTTGCAATTTTTGTCAATTTTGGTCAAAAAATGAAATTGCTCCAAACTTCATGGAAAGACTCCTAAAGGCCCCTCGAACACATTCGAATTCGAGTTTGAGACGGATATATCAATACAAAGAAATTCATATTTTGGTCCAAATTCACTAAAAATGTAAGGCTAACCCCTTGCAATTTTTGTCAATTTTGGTCCAAAAATGAAATTGCTCCAAACTCCATGGAAAGACTCCTAAAGGCCCCTCGAACACATTCCAACTCGATTTAGGGACAGATATATCAATACAAAGAAATTCATATTTTGGCCAAATTTCATTAAAAATGTAAGGCTAACCCCTTGCAATTTTTGTCAATTTTGGTCAAAAAATGAAATTGCTCCAAACTTCCTTGAAAGACTCCTTAGGGCCTCTCGAACACATTCCAACTCGAGTTAGAGACAGATATATCAATACAAAGAAATTCATATTTTGGCCAAATTTCATTAAAAATGTAAGGCTAACCCCTTGCAATTTTTGTCAATTTTGGTCAAAAAATGAAATTGCTCCAAACTTCATGGAAAGACTCCTAAAGGCCCCTCGAACACATTCGAATTCGAGTTTGAGACGGATATATCAATACAAAGAAATTCATATTTTGGCCAAATTTCATTAAAAATTTAAGGCTAACCCCTTGCAATTTTTGTCAATTTTGGTCAAAAAATGAAATTGCTCCAAACTCCATGGAAAGACTCCTAAAGGCCCCTCGAACACATTCCAACTCGAGTTAGAGACAGATATATCAATACAAAGAAATTTATATTTTGGTCAAATTTCATCAAAAATGTAAGACTAACCCCTTGCCTTTTTCAAGTTTTGGTCAAAAAATGAAATTGTTTCAAATTTGCTTAAAAAGATGCTGAAGGGACCCCAAAGCGTATGCCAATCCGTTACATATAGACCGATGAGCTTTTTAACACAAAATTTATCCAATGTTTGGAGAAAAGTCGTTTTTTGGCCAAATTTCATCCAAAAGGTAAGGCTTACCCCCTTGCCCTTTTTTTCAATTTTTGGCCAAAAAATGATATTTTTTTAAATTTGCTGAAAAAGATGCTTAAGGGACCCTTAAACACATTCCAATCCGATGTATGAACGTATGAGCTTTTTTTAGACAACATGTCGACAAATATTTCGGGTAAAATCAATTAAAAATGTTTGGAGAAAAGACCTTTTTTGGCCAAATTTCATCCAAAATAAAAATCAGGCTAACCCCTTGCCGTTTTTTAATTTTTGGCCAAAAAATGAAATTGTTTCAAATTTGCTTAAAAATTTCGTTCTGAAATGGGATGCCCAAGAATCATCGGAGCTGATCATGGAAAAGAAAACACGCACATCCGACGGAGGCAGCTTTCTCTTCTGAGGAGTCAGCGTCACTCGTTTGCTTTAAGACAAGAGTTTCATGCGAGAAACCAGTCAAAATAATCAAAGAATTGAGTGTTGGTGGGGCATGCTTAGAAAACAGTCCACTCCGTTTCGGATGGACCTCTTCGCCCATTTTCGAGGCAATGCAAGGAGCTTATTGCAACATTGAAATGCAAAGCTTTAAAATTGCCTGGTTTTTTGTTTGTTTGCTAAACCTGACGATTTTATAATACCCCACCAATAAACTTGTTCAAAACATAATAATAATTGAGGGTTCTTTTCTTTACATCTATAGACCGGCGCCTTTGAATGGATTCCAGAGATAGCGCGCGTTATAAATACTGTAGCATTATTATGGTGAAAGCACTGTCAAACGGGTTGCCAAAAAAATCCGACAAACTACGGTCAGTTCATACGGGTCTCCTAACATGACGGTGACGGTATTTTGAACACGAATTTCCCGTACACTTAACGGTAATTTGCCGTAAGGTAATGGAATACCAAGTGGTGTGGCGTCGGGGCTGGGTGCAGGGGTAGGGAGCTAGGTTCCAGTTACGGCAGCTTTGAGGGGGTTCTGTCTTTAACACAAATAGTGGTTTTCATACAATTTCAGGTGAAATTGAAATTATCTTTAAGTTGTAACACGCCTTCCGTGAAAGTTGTAATGTAATTTTTATTTACAACTATTTACAGATCCCACAGAAAGGGGGAGAACTTTAGTTCCTGGTCAACACCGCAGGGTTAGCTGCTTGTTTCTCCAAATTCTCCAACATCAAAGCATAACGGCCTTGACAGCACAATGATCAACTTTGTATGCGATACCTTGGGTCTATAATATTATGCAATTAGTTTGTATTCGAATCACAGCTTTTAAAAACGGTGCTTGTGAGGGTTTGAAAGGAGAGGGGTTTGAAAGGTTACGGCTACAAAAGCATTATGACGCGTCAGGGCACCAAGTTTTATGGAAATTCACGTAGCACGTTCTTGCTTGTGACAGACCGGGCAATTATGGCAATAAACCGTTTTTAAAAAATGGGAAATAGACAGTGTTTTACGGGTTTTGTTTACAGCGTGCACTTCATACACTTCAAATTTCCTGCATGGGCCCACGTGAACTTTGCATTTATTAGGCCTTATTTTGATATTCCCAACTTACCGGCCAAACACAAGACTGCCAAAGCAGAACTCGTCACCCATCCTAGCTCAGCGGACCCTACCTCAAACTCCTCAAGGAGAATGGGCATGTAGATCCCGTGGGTCTGGATCGAACCCATCTCGAAGAGAAATGCCATGAAGGAGGCGACGACCACGACCCGCCCCCACCGGCGCGACCACGGCCGGGCTTGGGCGGGGAGACGCTCTCTGCGACCGGATGGCTGATCGCGGTCGTCCGCTTCGTTCTCGCTAGAAAGTTCGATGTCTAGGTTAGCCATTGTTATCGATTCTCCTTCTGGAATCTTGTATAAAAAAAAAACAAGAGTAGAATGACAAGGAAAACCTCATTCAGTGTGAAGTGCCTTCGCAGATCGATGATCAATCTATGGCCTAGCCCCAGTCTACTAGACACAACAACAGCTCAGGGTGGAACTTACGTCTATTCTAATGATACATCCTTTCCTATGAACACAACACCAAATTAATATACAACATATATTACCATATATAGGGTACGGCTTGCCAAGGGGCAGTCAACCAGTTGGAGCTGGCTCTTTAATTGTTTAATTTTAAACAATAATTATACAGATATTCAATGTAATCGTACAAACTCCCGAATAAACCCACTGGATTAATAACCAGGGATAAAACTCGATGAGCAAAAACTCTGGAAAACCTTGAGGTTGCCAGCAAGACAAAACGTTTCGAACGTTTACATAAAGCTATTTTTTTAAAGCTGATCCATTCTCAGTTTGTTTTTAACTGACCTGACGGTCGCAAGCTAGAATGATCCCCCACGCCTTCGCCTCGTACGTTCTACGTACATTCTATGCACGTCTTTCATATTCAAATTTGACACACCCTTTCCACCCTTATACGCACTACCGCCTTGCGGATTGCGGAATTCATTCCTCAACCGATTAGACAAATTTTGCCTGCTATACAACCGTAACGCAGGCAAAGATAATTCCTACAGAAGCCAGGGAAGCTACTTCAGTGGAGTCCTTTACACATGGTGGTTTAAGTCAATTAAGGCTCCATGAGATGCAGTTGTCTTCAACCCTAAGGGGGCCTACTAACACAATTGTATAGGGATGCTGCTGCTAGCCACCACGCGCATGCAACCGTATATCCCGACTAGTTGGTTTGCAGTGCGCTACAGATACATGTACATAATTATACACTAACATCGCTCCCCTTTTATGACAAATGACCCGAATTAGTGGCTACAGCCGGGATGAACACAATGTTCCAATATGGAAGCTACCTCCGACGAGGCCGCGGCTATAGCTGTTGACGTACCTTCGTTTCAGGTCGACGTGGTAGCACTATTCCTTCCTGCATGGTAGCACTAAATTGATGCAGACGTGTGGAACTATCACAAGTATAGTCAGCCATTCATTGTGTTCTCTGATATCCGGTTCACGTCTCTCCGTCTGCAAAATTTTAGTTATAGCCAACCATGCATGTCTTGAGCAAATATATAGCAAATCATATTAAAATAGTAGCCATCGAGCTCAAACATCATATTTGTTATGCACAATAGTACCCTGTACATTGTACCTTGAACTTGTAGATCAAACTCCCAGACGGTCCACCAGGGACTAAAAAGCCCTGTTCGCACTTGACTTTTTATTGGTAAAGCTTACCGAGACTATGGGTACTTTTCCCATTTTAAGTCCAGTGCGGACAGCCTATCAGTTACTTTTCCTGAGTCCAGCGGTTACTTCTACTGGCCAACTGCTGCCCAGGAAAACTTACCAGGTGCCCAGGAAAACTGACCAGGTCACTTTTCCCGAGACGATGAGTCCAGTGAGGACAGTGCGAGTAGGTAAAAGCGGCTTGGGAAAGCGTACATCCGGCCCGAGCGCGAGTATCATGCATGCAGAGCGACCGCACGATCCCACACGTGCTGTGGCCGAACGTGCTGAGGAAACACGTACGCGGAACCATAAGTCCGATTGGGTTGAAACGTTGTACATACATTATAGGAAGTATCATTGATATCAAAGTATCAAAGACCAATGTTCTGTTCATCGAACAGACATCATAGACCCCAAGAACGAACACAAATGACACCACAGGGGGCGCTATTCAAGATATACTAATGAACATCAAATGTATTGATATACATGTATTTGTTATTCATAAATACCTCAGAAAGTTTAGCTATTCCTATTGCCCGTCACGTGGCCGGTCTTATCTTAAACGGATGATAAAGACATGGCTAGCTGGTCTTAAACACTTTTCAAGTGTCACATAAAATGTGGACTCCTAAAAATCCAGTGCCTCTTACCGTTTTATTGGTTGAACGTTCACAATCCTCACGTAGGCATGCGCAACACTACCAGCGAGTCGAAATTTTATAGTTCTAAATTAAAACGCAACGCCCCATGTGCGTTCTGCGCGACATCGCGCAGAACATGTTACGCGCGCGTCAATCTCCATAAAAGGGTTGTTTACATCTTACTCGCCAGCTGAACACTCCATTATTTTGCTAGAGGGATGTTTCAAAAAGCATGAAGTGAACTTGTTGAACAAAATCGGGATGTTTTGAACGAATTATTTGATTTTATTTTACCGAAAAGGTATTTATGAATGGGAATAAATATGTGCTCGGTCGGTATTTATCACTCTGTTTAAGACCGCTTAGAATCTGGGTGCTGATAATTACCCTCGCCTCCGGCTCGGGTAATTATCAGCACCCAGACTCTAAGTGGTCTTAAACAGAGTGATAAAAACCTCCGGAGCACACATTTATTTCCTTATTAAAGTTGCATCCCCGTACTGTTTTTTGTTTTTTTGAGTTTCACTGCGAAAAAAAAATATTTTTTTTCAATTGCTCTTTTTCCTGATAAATTCAAAGTTATTCGTTTTTACATGAGATATCAAACGAGAAATTTACAGTTAGTTATGGAATTATTTATGCACACAATTTGAGTTAGGCTAGTGTGACCGAACAAGGATTTGGCTCTCGAATGGTGGGGGGGGGGGGTAAACTTTTTGTTTGTGCAAAATAAAAATCCCTTTATTATAAGGGTTGCAGAAGTTCAGCAAGTATTTTTTTCCCCGTTAAAAACGCGTTTTTCGATAAGAGTGCATACTTGAATGAACGAATGACGACTTGAAAGCGCAAGAGTTTTCGATTTAGGCCTACGGTGCGTACTAGGCGCATGTATTCGGTGCTTATCTCGAAATTGCCTTAATATTTGCCAAGCCATCGAAACCAGATGATGGCCTGGCGAACCAATTTTTCAAGGGGGCACTGAAGGCAACTGATATGTTTTGGGGTAATTCAAGTTTATAATTTGGGTGGGTGGGGATGGGGGAACCGGGGGCGACATCCACTACCCCCCACCCACCTTAATTCCATCTGGCTTGCTGTCATTTAGAAGAAATCAAGAAATGTAGGCAATTCCCAACCATCAGTCAATTGCCTTCAATTTAAAGAGTGCTTTTGACAAAATCATGTTTCGTGATCAAATGGCTGTGCATGATTTTTCACTGTTTTCTTGACAAAATGTAGTATCCACTTAGCTGAAACATCAACAGGTTGGGTTTTAGAACTTTTTTCTTTGGATTTTGACTGACCAGTGTTATTTTTGGAAATAAACAACATGCACGAAAGACTAGCGAGATTTGTATCGCGCATTGAACTCGCCTGGAAATACAAAACGGTGGATCTTAACTCCTGAAACTCAATAAAAGTCTTGGCACTGCAGCATTTAAAACATTTACAATAGTTTATTCACAAGAAAGGATCCTGCATAATTGTTACATGTATCATAAAATAAAACAATTTTAAACAGACACCACTAATCTTTGCAGTGGAAATTTATAACACACCTAATTCTTTTGGTTTACCTTTTTTAAGGGATTATTTTATCCAATATGGACTATATGTTAAAAAAAAATTACAACAATGAATAGAATTATGGTAAAACTTTGCGAGTAAGTGCATATAAAGCAATTGCGAATGAGAAAGACAGGATTTGAAACCCGATGAAGTCGGAGGATGTACGGAGATTTGAACATTCGTCTTGCAAGGACGAACGACAGGGTAGGGAGTGGTCACTGAACACAGTACGACCGTTACTTCATTCCTGCTTTGGTTTCAGCTTGCCAGACGCCATTGGTGGTCATCCTACCGTAACAGGAACCATGGGCTTCTGCTCAAGGACACCTAACCTTCTCAATCACTTGTAAGTTTTCTTTAAATTATAAGATTCTGTTGTCCTTCTTTTGGTTCCTGTTGGTACAAGTGAGCTCTGCTTGTATCAATTGCGCTGGCTGACTGGACGGTCTGTTTGAGGAGTAAGATAGCATCCACAGATTTTGTTAGATAGCATCTATAGTCTACATGTTTCTAGCTTTCTTTTCAGAAATGTCGCTGAACTTTCACTCAAACAATCATGTCCACAATCTTTCTTATTTCATATATGCACCATCTCACCCCCCCCCCCCCCAAAAAAAACTATACCAATATGTCAAAATAGAGTTTAAAATCTCACAAATACTGTTAGTTTCTTTGCCTACGTTATCACAGATTATACAGTAAATATATCTATAAATGTTCTCCGTCAGTCAAAGGTCGAAACTCATGAATTTATTTTTGCTTTAAATCATAAGTATCTATGTGCATTTTATACATTGCATACATACACTTTGGAATAAACATTTTACAGCTACTTTCCACTGAAAAAAAGGTCTTACCAATTAAACCAAAAAAAAAAGACATTTATTAACCACATATTTAATTACTTGAAAAAAAAAGCCCAGACATCCATTGTATGAGAAACACGCCCTCAATAAAAAGAAAGACGTGGTAATGAGATTTTAAGGCTGAGGCTTTCCGATCACTATGAGTGGCACAATCTTTCTGAAACAAAAAGTTTCGGAAGGATCAGTGAGCAACCAAAACAATTCTTTTTGACTTCAAAAACTTAGAATGACGTACCTGTACGTTCATTATCCCTACGCTACCCTGCTGTCCATTCACACAATTTACAAAGAGAAAGTCAAACTTTCAAAATTATACAATCCCTTCCAACAAAGCCCTCCAAATCATCTGATCGAGCTTGTCGTATCGGAGACTGTACCACCAGCATCAGGATGTGAAAGCCATGATATAAATTAAAAAAAACAGCACCACTAATGTTTACAAACCACACAATTTACTGCACATTTTACTAATAAAAAAAATTCAGGCTTTACAAAACCACAAAAGCCTTCTCATTAATCATTCATGCACTGTTTACGGCCAACCCGGCATCATCACTTTCAATTAAATAAACGACCAACTGCCAAGGCTACATTTTAAATTTGTTATGACTTCTGAGAATTCTACTTGATTATGCTGTTGAAAAAAGGCACTTTTGTTTAAATTTTCATTTGGGGGACCTTCAACATCACAAACAAGACGACGTCTTGAAGACAAATTTGCAGCTGACTTAAAAGAGGAAGGAAGTGTTCAGCATATTTTTGCATCTCAATTGAAAAGACGGAGAAGACGGAGAAGACGTTAAGTTCAAGACACAGGTGACATGGAAGAGCTTTTCCGGGAGGTAGGACTGGGCATGAGGTCCATGCATGTCCAGTAAAAGGCATGCTCCATCGCACTAGGGCTTTCCTCTACATTACATGATGTTACAGGGATGTGCACATACATTGTACAAGGCAGTTCTTACTCTTCAAGAAAGCGAACGCAAATTGGTGACATCACAGTCAATACTTGCACTATGAATTTGCAAATGTTAAACACACTCTAGCAAAGTTTGCTAACAAATTTTTTTGACGTTAATTTTGTTGTCAATTTGGACTCACGTCAAGTATGAGCCTTGGGTGAAAATTGGTTGTACGTACTCGGTGTAATGTGGCCCTGGCACTGCCTCTTATGGGCAGACAAAGAGCGCCACCTATAGTTCATACACGGAGTCCATTGGCCTGAAGTGAATTCAAACTGTACGATTCAAAATTTGCATATCAATACAAGTTATAGAGGAGTGAGAATAATATGGTCAAACTAAGGAAATAAATGCATTGGAAAACATTTGTTGAAAATTTTTTTAAACTATGTTGCAAATATTTTACCTTCCATGGTCATCTCATGTAAATGTATTTTATAAACAAAACAGGAGAATTCATCAATCGTTTTATATTCCTGTCCACCCCCTCCCCCCAAAAAAAGAACAGTAATTGCCCATTTTTCTACTTTGTATGACTTTTATGAAGGTGTCAAATTGAGGGGAAAAGTGTGACAAATTGTTCTATAAAACGACCCAACAGTTTTCTAAAAAAATCAAGATTACCAAAAAAAAAAAAATCAAATCAGTGGCGCAAATGGACCATTTGAAATTCCAACTGATTTTGCATAACCAAACAAACTACCGTGTACAAGACAAAATATGATAAACCATTTTGAAAGAAACAATTCCATTATAAGGTGGGCAGCTTTCTTCAAACAGAAATACTGGTAAGTTGGACTAATGCATCCCTGATATATTCAATACGTTCTGAGATGAAGGTGCATGTACAGTGTATACTATTTACTTCATAAAAAAACAAATACTTTTTAAGACATCGTAGTTATGACTAAAATACTTTTCCTATACTCAAAACCTGCTTAATAATGTTACTCCATCTGAACAAATCTATAACAATCCCACTTTTGTTTTTCATATTTGTTCAAATGGTGAAGTTTAAATATTTGAGATGTTTTGTTGATTTTGGGGAACTATTTTTGTTCGAATATTTGCACCATGCATCTACATCTATCCCTGACAAATAGGTTGAAGAGAATAGAATCATGAATAATTAGAAAAACTAGGGGAACAATTTTGTAAACTACTTTCAAATCTGGGGTTTCTTTTCTTACCTGAATGTAGCATGAAAATATTGCTTTTGTATTTTGTGATTTACATACTGCAAGACACAATCATGATTTGTTTTTCTTCAATATTTCAAGAATTAAGAGACACATGGACGGTTTCATATCAAATCTTGAAATTTTGTTGCGTTAATTACAATGTCATTCTATTCCTTATCTTAAACACTGATAAGAAAACAAAATGTCACTTTTAATGCAGCTGTATGACGTCTCCATGGTAATATCATCTCCTTGGTTACGCAGCATCCATGGTTACTCCAGATGTCTTCAGCCAATGAGAATGAAGGTGGCTTCTTTTATACCGGATGATCCTGTTGAATGTATCCAAATAAAATCTGTTAAGTCACAGAGCAACAGACCGATCCGTGAAGCCCCATTCATGATATTCAGACCAAGCACAGCCATGACTGACCCTCCAATCTGTGCCAAGTTGTCCTTTCAGTCAAATCAAGCAAGTGACTGTTTTCAACAGTTAAGACTTCCCAGCCTACACAAATCAGGATTGACTAGCTTGAACTGTTTAAGTAACTTGATACAGCTATGCTTTGACTCCGGGTGTGTGATAAAACAGCTGTGACCACAACTTGCCTGCTTTGTCTGTTGACTGAGTTTGACTAGTCACAGTGCTTGCTTAACATATGATCTGAATGCTGGTGACTAGCCTTTGTGAAAAGTATAGCACAGAAGTGAAAGCGAATTTTGACTTTATTTTGATATGTACGTGATAAAAAAAAATGGTCACATTAAGGAAAAAACACCCTCACAAAAAAAAAATTGTTTCGGGAGAACTTACAATTTTCTTATTGTGTAGATTGTTGGAGAAGTTATAACTGCTGAAGAAGCGGACGTCTTGATCCACATCTTTCTGAAGCTGACCCACCACATCCATCATCTTCTCATAGAAGGGATTAGCCATGGATTGGTAAAAGTCTGAAGGAAGATCAGAGATAATCAGTGATGTAATCACAAGCAGGATCACAAGTCAATCACAAGACTCTTATCAGTCCGATCATAACAGGGATTCTCTATGGACTGGTAAAAGTCTGAGGGAAGAAATCAATCACATGTCATCACAAGTCAATCACAAGTCAAATCACAAGTCAATCACAAGTCAAATCACAAGTCAATCATTGATCAATCACAAGTCAATCACAAGTCAATCATTGATCAATCACAAGTCAATCACAAGTCAATCGCAAGTCAAATCACAAGTCAATCACTGGTCAAATACAAGTCAATCACAAGTCAATCATTGATCAATCACAAGTCAATCATTGATCAATCACAAGCCCATCACAAGTCAATTGCAAGTCAAATCACAAGTCAATCACAAGTCTATCACAAGTCCATTGCAAGTCAATCACAAGTCCCTCACAAGTCAACCATCAAGTCAAATCATAAGTCAGACTACCAGACATTCTTTTTCCCAAAACATCATTCAAAACTGACATGGTATCCAATCAATCTGTTACCAAAAGTAAATGCCTATCCAAAATAAGACGGGTTGAGACTTACCGATTGGCAGTAGATTTTGAGTGAGAAGCCTGGCGAGTGTGATGCGTACATTAGGGATAGAATCGTTGCCTAGACTCAGTAGACTCGGTAATAAATTCTGGGCAAATTGTTCATCCTCTACGGACTGGACTTCTACAAGATTCTGACATAGATGAATAAATCTGGATTGCAGAAGGAAAATGACAAAGGGAGATACAAGTCAGAATTAGTTGACGAGTGATGTACCAGTAAGCACAGGAATTCGAATTAACTTCGTGTATATGAAAGTATGGGGACCCATGTTTACAAGAATTGGCTTATTTTGAGTCCCCTCACAAACTCTTATTGTATTAAACCCGTAAGTTATATCACTGTACTGTTCATTCATGATTTGGTAGAAAGTCAACCATGAAAACAATGACACAAAATGAATACGAAAAAAAAAAAAAATTCTATGTATATATATGCTTCTCCATTCCGGAGTACTCATACCATTCTTTTGTTTTGTAAGCATCCCTTCTAACAGTTAGATGAATTTCTGTTAACTTTGCGATTCTGAAAATAAAATTTCTGGCGAAGATAAAATCAAGTGGCCTGTAATGTAGGCTACTTTAAAGAGCAACGCTATCATTGAGTGAAATTCCATATAGGCTAAAGATTTAACCACAAAAAGCAAACAAATACTCTAAAATGTAGGTATCCAAATCGGAAACTGGAATTCAAGTTTAAATATTTTAAAACAAAGCCTACTCACGTTTGTCTGCCGAACCAGCGATCACTGTTGGCATACCTAGTGATGATTCCGTCGATGAAGTTTTGTCTTAGAGTCTGGTCGTCGGCTGTGTTTATTCTCTTCATGATCACTCCAAGCTGAAGACAAAAAGAGTCCAAAAGTCAATAATCGTTAAGATGGAAAAAATTTGATTAATTTCAAAGACACAAGGATTCAACATCTCAGTCATCACTGATCAACTACAGTACTAGCTTGATTCAACGAACTGCTGATTCTGCACCACAAAAGGTTGTATATTTCTGTAAAGCAGCAAAACAGGGCTAAAATTTAAGACTGTTCAAGGCATTTTTCATGCATCCTTCAGAGAAACAAGACTTGGCGGGTATTTGGCCTCACACAAATAAGCACGACATCAGCTACATCATAATCACCTAATCTGCAATACGTAAACAATCTCCGGCTAGGGCTTACGACTAAAGAACAACCACCTTTTCTTTCAATTTTCCTCAACAAGGAAACCTTAGACAGGCGGAAATGAACCGCACGGTGGATCGGCGATTCTCCATTCCCGAATTCTCAATTGGGCTTACCAATCTGTAAGCCGTGAACCGCACGTCGGCTACTCTGTCACCGGCCAGCGTTAGGGCAATGGGAAACAGATGTTCACACACGTCACCGGGTTCATACATGTCACACAGTGAAATCAGCTGCCTAGATATCAGATCAAGAGGAGATAGGGAGGATTTACAAGACAATCATTGAAAAATAATTGTCAATTGAAGCAATTAAGCCTCATTTCCTGCTAGATAAATTGACTGATAAATGTGGAAGCATTTTGTCTGATATTGTAGTCATTAGTTATAATTAACAAATAAAACCATTCCATTCATGGTCAATAAAATAAAAGAGCTACCCCACTATTTAAAGGTCATATACAATATTTGCAAACATCAAAAACAAAAGTACCAAATTATTACAAAATACCTTTCTTGACTGTAAGTGAAAAGTAGTCTCAAGCATCCTGTGAAATCATGGCACTTGGTGCGCTGACATTTTCAAGAAAAGTGGAAGTTTTGTATCAATTTCCAATGACGGTCGGCCGACCATCATTTGAGAAAAACAGACTTTTTCAAATACTGCCCCCACTTTACCAAATTTAGTTAGTCCACAGTTTGTTTGCAATCGGTTACACGTCCGTGAAAAAAAACACACCAGAAAACAAAAAAACCCATCTCCAACATCGAAGTAAAAGCATTAAAATGCTGAAAGTCTCCAATATGTCATGGTTCATCTTCTATCACTAATGACTTTATTTGCGAGTGACTTGTGATTTGGCATGTGATTGACTTCCGAATTGACTCATGATGGACTGGACAATGGTGCTGTAAGATTCCTGTCACAAAGCGGGGATAACAATGAAAACTCACTCTGCAAGCTCCAGTCGAAACCTCCAATTGCGAGTGTTGTCGGTGGTCAGGAAGTCCGTCATTCTGACGAGGTATTGCTTTCTGAGCTCTGGCTTCAATAACTGTCAGGTAGAACGGAAAAATTAGTCACGCATCAGACAGGCTTACAACCATAAAAAGTTGGTGTTTTATCAACAACAGTTTTTTTTCCAAGTTACAGGCTCTCCCAAGTCAGTTTAAAACGATGGACAGTAAAAAGCAATTGAACATAAAGGTGACAATTGATCTCTTAATGGAGCAGTCAGGGTTCAAGACTAGCTAGATTCTAGATCAATACTTGTAGAAATCACACACAAAGAACGAAATGTTAACTGTAACACAGCATGTTATCAAGGTCTCAGTCAGAAGGGTGTCTGGGTGTCTTTTTGACATCCTGTTGGCTATTTTGGACATCCATATTGTTATACCTACTGTGTGAAGCCCTCTATGCTTTCAGACATGTCTTAACTCATGAACCCTAACCCTCAATCTTTCCAAGCCAACATGGAGCTTTTGAAGGATTTTGGAGAACTGAGGCTGTATACGTGTGGGGGTTGTGAGGGAGTCAGGGGTGAAGTTACAATGACCCACCTTTACAAAGTCAGCAAAGTGTTTAAGTACACCTATACGGACTTCATCCAGATCTCTCAGGAAACAGTTGAAGATCGGGACTAGGTCCATAGTAGTGACTTCATCGCCTAGGATGAGAGCCAACTCATGGATGGAGAAGGCTAGAGTGCGACGAACCTTCCACTGGAGTAGGGAAGAGACAAAACATGAGAATGCGTCTGCTGAAAGTTTGGATCTTCAGTGATCACACTTTTCTCCAGAGTTCTAGTCAAATCCATCGCAAGGCGATTACAAGTTGGATCACTAGTAACAGGGGTGAACAATGAAAATGGAACGCCTTCTTCAAGGATTCTTTTAATAGCTAACAACTTAACTGGAGACTGATTGACTCGTGATTGACATGTCACTTGACTATAACTTGAAAACAACAACAATTACTTTTCTCAGTAAGCAATCAAGATGCACTGCCCTATGCCCTGGGTAGTTTCTTAACGATACAAATCTTGTGTCTTTTTTAAAAGGGTAAAGTGAGAAAAAAAACAGTTTGACTATGATCTATTTAGAAAGCTGTAAACCACACTGCCCTATGGAGACAAGCCCACACATCAGAAATTCCATACATCAGACTCTAAGCAAGCCATATACATATCGGATATTCATCAACCTAAATCCATCCGAAGTCATCAGACTCTAAGCAAGCCGCTAACCTGCCTTCTTACGATACAATTAATTCTGCAGTCAAAATTTCAGAAGGTACAGTTTTCTCTCTCATGATGCTGAAACAATCCTTGACCTGTGTGATTGATAAAGTTTCCCCTTTTGCATAATCTACCTGCATATCTGAGGCCAACGTCTCGTAGACTTCCTTGAGACACTGCCAGTTCTTCCGACCCATGGTCAATGCTACCCCGGGGAGACTGAAGGCACAATGTCTGGCAATCTCAGTATCTACGGTCTGAGCACGGCTGGGGTCTGTCATGGACAGGTAGAGATCCAACAACTCCGCTGGTATCACATCCTGATGGGATGGGAGGAATGTTAACAATTCAAGAACTTCTTGCTGACATAATGAGCCCATAATAAACATTTATTTTATCAAAGCATTAAGGAAGAATGTAAATTAAACAAGTGGTACCTTGAGGTTGAAGTAACCCTTGAGTTACTATCTGTTTTGAGTATTGCATTCTCCCCTTACCTGTGTAAGCCGTTGAGGACGTTCAGGTGTCTGCATCTCATTGGACGTGTTAGCGGAGGAGGGATCGAGGTCAGACCACTCAGGCACTACCTCCTCTTCTACGATACCGTTACGGAACGTTAGCGTCTTCTCGTTGACGCGTTGCCCGATCACGTGCGTGCTGCAGATGTTGGACACGGTCTCCAGGACTTCTTCGGCCTCGTTGAGGTTTGCTTTGTGGACCACCATGCCTCCGGCTTCGGCTAGGGTTTGAGAGGTACTGCTCTCCTCGCTTGGGCTGACATTTGCATTGTTGTCAACTTCCTCTGAAGGCTGCCTTGCGGCATTTTGCAGTTCTAAGTCAGAAACATTCTCTGTGATATCCTTAACGTCTCTCTGACTCTCATCCACGCCATTAACCTCCTTAGTTTGCTCACTCACTGAAGGCGAACCTTCGCCGTCACTACCTGTTCCCGAGTCTGGCGTTCCTGCTGGACTAGCAATCCCCGAATCCGGAGAAGCCTTCTGTTCGTTCTCACTTCCAGACTTGCTGGTCTCTAACGTCAACTCAGCAACTGTGGTGAACCGTTCTGACGATGACGATGAATCTTCCGTTGTAGCCTCTTCAATCTCGGGCTGAATGTCGATGACAGGGATAGGGTTCCGCCAGAATAGGAACGAGTCGTAGCTACTAGGCACCTCAGGGGTGACTAACACTGCCCCTTGCTCCGGTGTGAACTCCACATGCCCGAGACCCTGGTGGATGTTACTGGATGCACGCACGGCCGCAGCAGGGTCAGCCTCTAAGGGGACGACTCCAGTCTTGTCCTGGCCTAAGATGATCGTTCCCGAGTCCCCAGTGACCGTTTCGTCCACTTCCATTGCCACGGCTTGCATTGCACTGTAAGTTCTTGGTTCCTGACCAGACGACTGGTCAGAACTTGAGGAAGACTGTTGAGAGGATTGCGTTTCTGAGAAGACTAGAGAGGGGACCTCGTCCGATTCTGATTCGCTGTTGTCGACCACACTTGCAATTTGAACTGTACCATCTGGATTGCATACAACCTGAACACCCGACACGGAAGGGTCAGCAAACGTTGAGATGAACGGACCTAGAGTTTGAAAAGCTGCCATCCGCACCTGTACAACAGAGAACCATGAAAAGTGGGTTAAACATCTTGTGATGAAGTATCATTCCTAGTTTTGAATAACTATGGCGATTCTTTTTCTTGCACTTCAGTTTTTTTTCAGTATTATAACTACAAAACAATATCAGGTTGAACAAGGAAATTGAGTAGGGCGAGATTTGAACCTGCCACCTTCAGAACACCCTACAGGCAGCTCTACCGACTCGACTACCTCGCCCTGCGTTTGCATTCTCCAAATGTACCCTCAAATTTCTTGTAAAATCTGAGGGCATGCCTGTGTTCCTCTGTAATAGTGTTCCTTTCATAAGAATACCATTTGTACTTTCATTCTCACTGAATTTGCATTAAAAATGTCCTTGCACTTGTGATGGTGCACCACACAAAGGGTCTATTTTTTTTCAGTATCTGACCAGAATACAGAGGCGCTAGCCAGAAGTCTTTAACTCATGATGCCAAACAACCAGGGATTGCACGCTAACTTTACGATACAACCTATGAAGTGGCAGTGTTGGGGACCACTCAACGAGGATACTATTTATTTGATTGAAGAATGTCCGAGAACCAACTTACCCATCTGGATTGATCTGTGAGCAATTTGACAAACAGCGGGCTGAGTTTCTCCGACCTGACTGTCCTGGACACCGCCCACGAGACAGCCATGAAGCACTCGGCACAGGCCTTGCGTACTCCCCACACACCGTCTTCGCATAGATCCTCAAACTTGGGCAGCTGTGGGATGGAAAATCATTGCAAAGTTTGGATAGAAACAGACTCAAGAGAGAGATGTGCAGTCTATTTAGTTATTATATTATGTGATTTTTTGTTCTGGTAATGAAACTATGGATTCTTTAAAAGTTGGTACGCCCTGTAGCTCGGAAAGGCTGAACAAACCTAGAGACGATGAGGAACATTTGTTCACTTTTAGAGGTGGGACGAAAAGCCAAAGAATCAGTTAGGGACTGAAAACCAATCCCGATGTTGAACCGAATTGGATACAAGCCCAGGTCACCGAGGTGGAGGTCACATGATATGCGCTAATTCCCGCAAGCAAATTGTTTAAAGTGCACCCTACCAATTTTCAACCAAGCCATGGTGTCTTTGTACGACAGGCCTGAATCTGAGTAAAGGTAGTCACAAAATGCCGCGCAATGTTCCCTAATCCCTTCTATTGTCACATTAAGTATTTGAACCATAGAAAGCCTAATAGTGTTTGAGTTCCATAATATTAGGCTATGCAATGATATGAACTAGTACTACACATAGACTGCAATAGATTGACCAACAGAAATAAAACAGTGTAGCAATGAATGTGACAGAATTGGAATGCAAAACTGCAATACATCCATAAAATAAATGGTACAAAATTTTACAAAAAATCAATAATTACCAGCAAATCTTCCGTTGCCTCTTCACCAACCACATTACAGATATCTCCAAAGTTAGCTGCACATACCTGTAACACACATGTCAATTTGTGATACTAATTAATATAATCACTTTATTTCAATGGAATATCTTAAGAACTAATGACCAGCCGCAAAATATGGAATAAAGCAAAACTGCATCTCTTGTTTTGAAAAGTATGGACGGACACAAATTGCAAAGAAAAAAAAAACTGAATGAATATGACTGCCAATCGTTTTTATTCTCTCGTAGATGCTATTCTTACGGAACCCTTCTCTGAAAAAACTTTATGCAACACCAATAGGTCAAGCCTATATATAGTTTATTGTGATCTGAGGAATGTACAGTCTAGTCATATCCCCCAAACAAAAACTGAAAAAACAATCTCTCCATCAGTATTTGCCTCCAGCATTGCATTTATTCACACAAACCGGCCAGGCTGTTCTCACAACATGATTCTCTGGCAGGGATTAACGGCAGCCTGAATCTGTAACCATTTCACACAGCCCCTGGGCTTCCCCGCTTGTCTTATGTTCCAAGGGGCCCGACAGACATCAGCACAAGATTCAGAATCCGTCATACGACAACCTTCTCTCCGGCCCCAGCCCCTCTTCTTCTCCCTGTAACACCTCCCAGTCCCAACTGCCAGGCCAGCTATTAGATTACCAACATCTTTAGCACGTGAATTAGGTCATTAGAGCGAAGGATAATGTGATTTTGTATCCGGGCTGGCCTGCGGGCACAGGCGGCGAGAGGTGATAGTTTTTTTTTGAAGGGGGGGGGGGGTGTTGGGGGACGTTAACATGATTACCCGGGGTGAGGGTTTGCAGAAACGCAGTTTGTGGTCTTGGTGGTGGGACACTGGGGCAGAATTTGTCATGGGGGGGGGGGGGGAGATAGGCAATTTGGGCTGACGAGACCAAGACAATGTCTTGACTTTAACATGGAATCAATGGCATGCGTGTGTATGGACGTACTTTAGGCGTGAATAGAAACTGCCTGAAACACACTAACACTCACATGTGTTTCATTTCGCAGATAAACATACATATCTGGAACATACAACCCTTTTCAATTGTTATCATCAAAGTTGATGTTTAACCAGTGACACATGTTTTCAGTTACTTAGCCTGGGCTTATCTAGAATGAAACATCTGGGGTTATCAGTCTATCAATATTTTGTATTCTTTCATGAATAATTTGTGAAAACAGTAAACAAACGTCTGGTATTTTATTTTTTAAAGGATTACACTGACGAAGATGTTGCAAAATTACCTTTCGTATATGAAACATACTGTCTGAGCACAGCTCGGTGAATTGTGGAAGCACAAGGTTTAGTGTGATCTCCTTGCCAATCAACGGTGCAACTTTACTCATGAGCTGTGGATTGAAAACACACAGGAAATACAAACATTACTTATAGGATGATATACCAATACCAGAGTATTCCTTCTTCTTTTTTTAATGTGATATACAATATTTGGTTTTTCCTGTAATTTTCAGGAATGGATGGATTTAGGGGTTAGTATTTTAAAGCAAATATCTACACTGACCTGTTTAATGTTTTGTGTTCATAGATGCTAGAAAAACCAAGGAAAAAAATGCTGTTTTTGTAGTCTGGTTTCCTGACCCCACTTCAGATGAAACAGAGTATTTTATAGACGTTGGGGAATTGTTAGATCAGGGAACAGGGCTAGCTGGCTTGCACCCGTTCACGGATGTGTAACCGATTGCAAACAAAATGTGGACTAACTAAATTTGGTAAATTCGGGGCAGTATTTGAAAACAATCAGGTTTTTTTCCGACGATGGTCAGCCGACCATCGTTGGAAATTGATACAAAATTTCCACTTTTCTTGAAAATGACAGCACACCATGTGCCATAATTTCACAGGATGCTTGAGACTATTATTCACTAACAGTCAAGTGAAGGTATTTCATAGTAATTTGGTAGTTTTGTTTTTTTGATGTTTGCAAATGTTGTACATTACCTGTAAGGCTTTCGATTAGAGTCTGATAACATTTAAAATCAAAGGAAGTATTTCCTGTGACCTCAAGAAAAGTAACAATATACTGGTACATTGTAATCATTGACAGTTTAGGCTTCTTAAGGTACCTTTATCAGAAGATTCAAATGTTGTAGAAATTCAAGCGAGCAAAAGAAGAAAAAAGACTTTGTGGACAGAAAGGATACATTAATGTTTAGTATAACAATTTTCTACATACTTCAAATAATTGTTCTGCCTTCAAAAAGCTGACATTTTATACAGAAATCTGGACAACCCTGTGTCAACAATTAGTGTGCTTTTGAACAGATAACCCAGCGATAAATCCAAGAAATCATGGCGTATTAGAACAACAGACCAATTACCCAAAATGCGGCATATTATTTCATTTCTCTGGATGTTAGCAGTCCCTGTTGTCCCCCGTTGTAAGAGCCAGCACGCTGTGATGAGAGACAAGGTAGCAAGATAGTCTTGAGATGTCACAATCTCACTACCCATGTCTTTCACACAGTACACTGCATCAAGCCAGCACCAGCACACCTAGATAGACTGCATTTTAGTTGATGTTAGCAGGTTGCATTTTTGTTGGTGTTAGAGCTCCCCGATATGTCCCCAAGTCCATCACAAGTCTGGTCACAAGCTAATCACTAGTCCAGTCACAAGTCCATCACAAGAAATTTGAAAGTCTGGCAGTCACAAATCTATCATAAGTTTGGTCACAAGTAAATCGTAAGTCATTCATAAGTCTATTCGCAAGTCAATCGCAAGTCAATCACAAGTCAATCACAACTCTGGTCACAAGTCCTCACTAGTCCAGTCACAAGTACATCACAAGAAAGTCTACAGTCTAGTCGCAACTCCATCACAAGTTCCGTCACAAGTGCATCGCAAGTCCAGTCTCATGTGTTGTCACAAGTAACAGGGGATGAACAATAACAAGGGAATGCCTTGTTCATAGTTCATTTGAGAAGCTTGTGACTGGACTAAGGACTGGAGGACTTGTGATGGACTTGAGACCGACAACTACAAGACTACTAGAGAGTGGTACTCACTGCGACGGCTTCATTTCGGTAGTCTTCCGAGCTCCCTTGCCCTGAGAGCTGGATGATGATGGGGCAGACTTGTTCCTCGATGTCTCTCTTCTCAATCAGTTCCTGCTCTAGGAGGACCAGTAACGCAGCTTGACTTGTCTTACGCACCTATGAGATGGTGGTTGGGAGGAGGGGGGGGGGGAATTAAAGGAAAATCGATGAGATCCTCACGTGGGCGTTGTCTTAAGCTAATTTTGAAACAATTACTTTTTAGAGATCTGACTCTGTTTTTACATGCAGATAACAAAATAATTTTGCTTTTGAGAAAGGTCCTGCAAATAGTGATACATTACGCCATTTTTTAAATTTTAATTCAATCCAGTCAGTAAGCAGTTTGCAGTAGTTTGATTCATTTTCATTATAATTTTTCCACTAAAACCTTTTGGATAATATTAATAAACATAAAATACAGATTTACATTCTATTATTGAATTAAAAAACCCATAATTTTAACAAAAGTACATTTACCATCAGTTTAAGATTTATTACAGGAGTTTTCGTTTAACAGAAATATATATTATGCTTTTCATGCTATGGAGAGACACAAGCTAAATAAAGTATGGATAGACACAAGCTAATAAAAAAAACATATGTTTTTCCCAGCTTTGAGGGAATTGGGAATTGAAGCCTTGAAAATAATTTTTTTTAGCAAACACCCTTTTGATTGATGTCTAACATGCATAAGGCAAAATGCATATTAATATGTGTACATGTACATGTACATGTACATGATGTGGTCTCGCAATTGGGCAACAAACTTCTTTTCTTGGTCCTTGTTGGCTGCATCGCAATGGATAGCATTTGAAATCTGAGAACGGTGACAATTAGAGACAAAGAGGGGCCTTGAACAGGTGCAAGGGCTGGTGCATTCCTGTGACTGAGGCTGACGCTCTATGGGTCTCATAACAAACCCAGCTGTGGGCCTGGGTTGGATTGGGTCTGGGCGGACTGGGGGAGAGGAGCTGATTCATCAAAAATGAGCTAGATCTAGGGAATTTAGTCTGTGCAGAGTCTGGGGGTTGCCTGGCTGAAAACACTTCCAGTAGATTTGTTTCATCAATCATGTATTTATCATACTCACAGGTTGGATCTTATCTTCTGCTTTAATTACCTTTTCCTGGCAGGGGTGAGACGCTAAGAGCTGAATTCTATTGGAATTTTTCATCAACGTATTGATCATAAAGGCAACTCCTCCAGTTCTAGGGCATTTTTTTCATCCTCAACAGGCACATGGGGCTACATGTAGCTGTACTGCCTCAAGTTGGACTATTTAACCCATTTTTTGACAGTCAGAAACGTTGGACGGCCTGACGTTTTGATCCTAGTGGAATCTGTGCCAAAGGCTTCTGAAAAAGATCTGGCCCGGATCGAACATTCGGCTGTCTAATTTCTTTTCATTTGTATATTTCATGTCAATCCTGTCCGCAAGCACTATGCAGCAGTTACTATTCGTTTTCGTTCTTGAAAGGAATTAAAAATAATTGTCTCTCCCACCCACCCCTCCAAAAAAAATAATAAGGATAATGTGTGCAAAACTTTGCAACTTAAAATTTTGTATTCATCCGGTAACAGTATGCTTACTGTGTCTACATCATTTTCCGTGTTACAAAAACTAATCTTGTGGTATTTTGGACGTGCAAGTCTTCCAATGTCAAAGCAGAGACTGTTCGTACCTGGTTGTTGGAGTCGGTGAGATAGCGGACCACCAACGGGAGGATGTAGTCCTGCACTGTGTTTGGGAAGAAGCTACGGTTCTCCTGACACAGCATGGCTATGTGTGGTATCTGCTCCATCAACTCGGCTCGGACCATAGGCTCTGAGGTGGAACACGAGAAGAAAAGAAAAGGGAATTTATAATGCGAGTCATGTGCGAAATCAAGGAAATGCGTTACACTCAAGGAAAATTTGCCAATGTTTGCAATCTTTATTGGACATCCACATAGCCAATGGAAACATTGGCAACTTTTGTTTCAGCTTGTATGGGCTAGGGATCGCTAGGTGTGTAATTCTTAAAGGGGCATAACGGCTTGAAATCCCAGAACTTATGTTTTGGATTTTGTACTTAATATCCTATTTCAAAGGTCTGGTTAAAAAAAACTAACCTAAGGCCAAAAAAAAAAAGTCTCCGGTTTCTGGTATGCGCGCGCGTCGCCGTAGCGATGCGCGTCGGCAAAATGAAAAAGTTTTTTTTTCAATACAAGATGATGTCTCAAAACCGCCAAACTCACTGGTTTGACTGGAATCCTGCTGCTGCACAATTTTAACGTGTTTTTAGATGGGGTTATGATCGAGAATAAGCTTTATGTGGCCTCTCTGGACTCCCATATATTTGTACTAAGTTTAGTCGGGCACCATTTGCAGTCATCAGCCGACATTTGAAGCCCCCCCCCCCCCCAAAAAAAACAGCTAAAAAAAAAAAAAAAAGCCGGGTCGCCGCACCACTTTTGAGGCAAGCTCCATACCAGAAACCGGAGACTTTTTTTTTTGGGCCTAATGTCTTACCATTCCCAAGAAAAGACGGGGGAAAAAAAACCTGGTTGTTTACATCGGACGAGGCGGACATTTTGTGGCATACGCATACACATTTCCAGCCGTGTCTATTCAATGTACAATATACGTTGTGTGTGTGTCACATAATACACACAGCACCAATACACAAATGTTGTTTCTCGCACGTCCGCAGAATGCGAACCACTGTGCGGCAGGATTCACAACTAGCACTCAACAGCTTGATTTATGAGAGTCAAAATGTTGACCCCAAAAATTTGTTCTCACATGGTTCTCGCAAGAATAACACAAAAACACCCAGTTTTTAAAGGATGGTTGTGTGGACGTTTATATCCTACTTCTAAATATGCTCTCTCTAACTAACATTATTTCATTTAAAATACGTTTTGTAGCCCAATCAGGTGCATTCAAGGGCGATATGTCCCTTTAAGCTAGCATGGGACCCGATATCTCCAATGAATCTTACAGTGATTTAAAAAAAAAATATGCGGCGCCAGTCTTTTGTTTACAGTCTGGCTCCAACTTTTGTGAAATCTCTCAGAATGTACACTTTTAAGCCACCTACGGATCCACGTATGCGAACACCATGCTTTTTCAGAAATCAAAAGTACTTCATACATGTACATGTACCCAATACTACGGTACATGTATCATGTACTTGATAACTTCTGCAACTTCCTCCAGTGCATGCATGTACTGAACTTCAACTAAAAACTCCAAAAGTCTGAGAAAAGTTATTTTTACCGAGTTGTGCAAAACTAGTCAGTCTGGAATCCATGGCGGTTGCGTGTATTGTTTCACAGCAGCAAACCAGCGGAGAAAATATGACAGATATGGATGAGGAGGGAACGGAAGAAGTGGCACGCCTGAAGACACTGAACGTCAGGAATGTAACATGTGTTCCAGACAATGAGAAGAATAAACCAAGATGATTCATCTAAAAACCAGTGAGCGACCATCGCTCCAAGTGACGGAACTTTTAAGTTTCTATCGTTGCCAATAAACATCAATCCCATATCCAATGAACGTCAAAGCGAGAACAATGGGAAATGGAAATAAAAAAGTAGTGACATCACGCTACCCATGAATTGTTCCGAGACAATTTTAGGATGATTTCACAAAATTCCTTTGAATACTTTCGGGGGAAGGGATTCACAAAATTGTGACCCCCGGTGAAATGTGTTCTGTTTTTTTTTCATTCATGTCGATGACAGTCAACTACAGTGACATTGCAGGACGCTTTGTGATGAATCATTCCTGATTTGTAGGGAGGGGTGCGTGTTGCTGCCCAAGTGCATGTGTATTAAAGGATGACACAATGGTCTCAGAGGGCAAAGCGACCGATTGTCTACGGTGTCAGATTAAACTAAGCTCAAACATGTGCCAAAAACATGTAACCAGCCAAAAATGTCAAGCAGTGTTGCTTGTGACTGGTATTCAGCCACATTTTGCATAGCATGTAAATTCGCTAAGCGATATTTTCTGTACAGCATCTTAGCGGCTCTAAGCATGGTGCACAGCAGATGCACAAGTCAATTTCCCTTCAAAAGCAGTAACATTTTGCATTCTTGGAATCTACACTCAAGGGTGGAGTCCATCAGGTACATGTTGATATAGCTGGCCAAAAATAACTCTCTATGGGCTCCGTGTACAAGTACCCCATCAACGGCCAGAAAAGGAGAGTTGGGGGATACCTAGACTGGTTCCCGGTCCATCCACTGCATATTTCGAATGTATCCAAAGTTATTGGAGGCGGGGATTAATCTCGGGGACCATGGCAAGTTGAATTCGAACGTTGGACTCCGATTGTGGTGGTACACGTAACCTACATGTAAGTGTGGTACTCACTCCAACAGGTTCCAACAAAACATGCAGTTGGATTTTGAAGGGTTGGGGTGGCTAGGGTTAATCCAATAAGCATTTGGACAGTAATTTGGTTATTTTTGGGATAAATGGACACGATCCTTTATGCCTTTAACTCTTACCGCTTGAAGACTGGACTGCAGAGTGTACTAACTCCATCTCAGACACAACAGACCAAGAAGCATATAATTCTGATGATGCAAAGTTCTCTAATCAGGTCTCGACTCATCCATCTTGTCTGGCATTTGTAGCATCCCACAATGACTTAAGTACAAGTCTGTTTTGTGACGTACCTATACCATCCATGATTGCGTAAACACACACATACATGTACAGTGTACATAAGCAAAAGTGAAAATTTTGGTCAACTTTTTTTTTCTAGTACTGGTACATGTACATGTACATCTACATGTATATATGTACAAGGATTGCAGAATATTAAAAATAGGCAAACTTACATGAGCAGGTATAATTGCATTTTGTGCATGAGCATGTGTAAGAAAATGAAGTATACAATGCACAATCTGTGTTTACATGTAAATAATGACCACAGAGATATCACTACCGGTACCTCATTAGTGCATTTATAGCTTCATACATGTATGCTATCCAATTAATGTTGGCAGTTCCGAGGTTGAAACGTGGGAGTCCGGTTTCCCAACCGTCGTTTGGTTTCCTACTTTCCAATTAATGGATACAGTTTTCCTGGCAGAGATCGAATTGAGGAAATTTGTTTTGTTTTTTTAATAATCATTATTTTCTTTTGATCATAATGAGCATGTTAAAATCAAAATGTCCTCATTTCCTGGCAGTTTTGAGTATGAAACGTACCGGTACAGTAACTATCCCAAAATCTGCCAAAACCAAAATCTTACTTTGCGGTATTGGGACGGACACTCTATCAATTTCAGTCAGCGTTTGTAGTTAACGGACACTCTGAGTCTGAGTTTCGGAATTTACACCCTGTACAATGTACATGTTTTTGTGCTATACATTATTGTAATTTTTCTGGAATTTCTTAACAACAAAGAAGACTTTACTGGACACTTCAGCATAGTTTTGAGATGGTCGGTCACATACATCAGCACTGTATGTATGCATGTACACATATCCACGCTAAATACTGAATATTTAGTCATCAGCCGAATATCTGAAAATTAGTTCTCTGATTCAAATATTTGAAAATGTGAGCTGCGTAAGATGAAGAACAACATCTGTGATGTATGTCTAATTGTACCAGTTTCCATGGCAATTGCCAGTTTTGAAGACAGTCACTTTAAATGCATGACTTGAGAGCTACCACGAGGAATATTAACTTATACGCCTATCTCAATTGTTAAAATATCAGAGTCAGCTATATGTACCTTTAAAAAATATATCGATACATGCACACGTGTCATGTTCTTAACATTTTACTATACTTTTGTACATGTTCATGTAAGGCTTGCGCATACAAACCTTGATCGCATGTTTTTGATATACGAATATTCAATTGATTCAAAGTTCAAATAATCGAATACCAAATTATTTGAGAATGCACAGCACTAACATGTACATTGTAGGATTGCTAAACCGTAATCCGCTCATAATTCCAGTAGATGTAATTAATTGAACACAGCGAGCGCTTAGCAGGTCACATCCAGGTCGTGGCCAGGACACACGCCGGTATTTAGCCCATTCAAATCGGCCACAGTCAATAATTAAACCACCCCCCAGCGCCGTGCCATACCCAGCCCCACCGGCCTCAAGATGAGGGGAGCAGATAAGCTGCTGGTCCATCTCATAAAACGCACACCTCCCTCCGAGCCGACAGCACAACTCTATTTAATTATCAGACTCTCGCCGACTGTTCATGTGCTCGACACGCCTACGGGCCTTTGCAGCCAAGACAAGAGACTACACGTACCCGTAGCAACCAAGCAGACAAACCGCCAACGTTTTTTTCTTTGTATTTTAATTTTGAGTTAGGCTGGAAGTTAACGCGCTGGTGGTTACGTGGTATCACTGCGATACAGGATTACGGAGAGAGGTGGCTTTACGATCTGAAAAATGATTTGAAAATTGGGTGAAACGTCTGAAAGATGCATTTCTTTCGACAGGCCCTTCTGATATCTTTCTCTCAGATTCAAAAGATCCGATTTCAGACAGAAGTCTGAAAAATCTCACGCCTGAACCCATCAGCAACTTTGTATAACATTACAATTACTTAGACACTACAGGTAGTAATAGGCAGGGCGGTTTGGGGCAGTACAATGACTAATGGGTTAAACACCTCAGCAGCAGAAGTGTTTGAAAGTTTGTATCAGTTGACCAACTGACACTCGGTTGATGACTGTTGTTTGTTGCCTGTTGTAGAAGTAGAACACAGACTGTATGAGTACTTTCAATGCTTACATCAACCAGTATGGTTGCCAAAATGACCAAATGCCTCCAATTTACCGGTACAAACCGTACATGTACCGGTAAGTACCTGTACGTGACTGACGACAGTCATGACTTCAGTTAATGATCTCAAGGATGACTTTTTAATCATGATCCTTGGATGAGGATGTACATGTACATTGTACATGTACCACTGCAATAAGGTTTCCTTTTGTTTCCAATGTACACGAAGGTCCTTTCAACAATTAGAACCAACTTCAATACCTCATTAAGCCGTCCTACACAAAAAGGTTGCAGTACATATTCCCTTCTGAACACAAACTTATTCTCTTCCTACATGCAGCATCTTGCCAACAAGGGAAAGTCATTCATGAGGACAATTTCTGGCTTATTTTACTAATATTTTGGCAATTTCATGCTGCATAGGCACAGGTTACTTGCAATATGCAGTCTCGCTTTTTCAATCCTTAGGAATTTAGTAGTTCAGTAATTAAAGCGTCCAAAATTGGACCAAATTTTAATACATTTTCCCCTGGTCACACTCTTGAGCACCATCAAACTTGCCAAGAAGTCTCCAAAATTTAGAAAGCTCCTTCCCTGGCCATGTTCTAGGTTCTAAGATCTTAACATGGGCAACATTCTTGGTTCTTATATCTTACCGTGGGATAATTTCTAGGTTCTCAGTTCTTGCCCTGGGCTAAGCTCTGGGTTTTAAGTTCATACCCTGGGCGAAGTTCTGGATTCTTCATTCTTACTGTTGGTTAAGTTCTTGGTTCTATGTTCTTACCCTTTAAGTTTTAACCAGGGCTAAGCTCTTAGTCCTAAGTTCATTTACTGGGCTAAATTCTGGGTTCTGAAGTTTTTACCCCAGGTTAAGTTCAGAGTTCTTTATTCTCACTCCGAGACTCCGAGTTAAGTCCTGGGTTCTAAGTTCTTACCCTGGTCCTCTGAGAGTCGTAGCATAGTATCCAGTCCAGCGTCACGATCCTCGGGGTCACAGATTGTCCGTAGTGACTCCAGTAAACCCCTTGCTGCCATTTGCCTAGAGACAGAATAAAATAACAATAATGGACAAGAAAAAGTTAATAAGGGATCTTTAAAAAAGAAGAGGAGACTGAAAACATGAACAGTCATAGCAACAATTTTAAAATTACCCTCCAAGTCCTTCAAAATCTATCAGAGTGTTTTGGGGGATTTGGCAGGATTGAGGAAGCTACAGCCCATTTCCTATTTCTTATGCGCCTATCAAATGTCCCCCCCCCCCCCCCCAGAAATGGGTTGTCAGAAATGACAAGAAAAAGTTAAGAAGATATCTTTGAACAGTCAGAGCAACAATTTAAAAATTACCCTCCAAGTCCTTTAAAATCTATCCCATTTCTATTCGCCTATCAAATGTTGGTTACTTCCTGCTCATACAAAATCCAACAAAATCCAACAAAATTTAACTGTGCCTAATTTTTAGTTGTCTGTTGGATCCAACAGAGTCCAACTTGGCATTATTTATCAGTACCCAAAAGAATCCCACTCTGAATATATACATGTACATTTGTACCAGGGGTTTACTGCTCAATCCAACAGGCTCCAACGGGTTTATGATATAGTTGGATCCTGTTGGATTCAGCAGAGTAAATGAATTAAGAGAAGTTCCATGGATCCTTCATTTCCTAAGAGATGGGGGGGGGAGTCAAAACAAAAACCACAATGAAGTTGTGTAAGGTATTCTGCTTTAGAAAAAAAACATTGAAACCAATGTGAGCTCTTTTGAATCATTCAATACAAATGAACATTTTATTTCCAAAATGCGATATATTTGAAAAAAGTGAAATATTTCCGCGATTATGAAACTTCAAAGAATACAAACAGTAAGACTTAACTGATTTTTAAGTTGTGTTTAACTATACCGGTACACATGTAAGCTGTCGAAAGTGACTGGGCAGCCAAGAGAGGGTGGGATTCTAAAAAGGTAACGTTTATCGTGTTTTGAAAATAAAGTCTTCAAATGTATATGAAGTTTGCAAACAACACTGTAACAACCACCAAAAATACACAGGTATAAAAATGTACCTGTAAAAAACTTGTCAAAACTGAAATTATCCACATTCCATGGCACCTCTCCCCCCCCCCCCCCCTTTTCCAAAATTCCGATACTTTTGACAGCTGCAACTCAATCCCCCACCAGTCCTTATCTTACAGATCGCCCCGCTATCCACACTATCCCTGCTTCTATCAGCACGCAAGGTTCCCTTAAAAAATAAAACACCACGGCTTGACCCGATCTTCTATCAAATTACTCAATAATTCAATATTGGTGGTGCGGCGAGTGCGGGCACTCCGGAGGCCATGTGGTGCCTATGGAGAGTGTGTATTAACGCTAGTAGTATGGCACCTCGGGGAGTATTGGAACCAGACTCGCTGGCTGATATTGCCTGACCTTTTGTAGGGAATGCACCCCCCTTGGCTTGATAATATCCAAGGGGGTTTTTCAGCGCAGTCTGGGGCCAGTGTGTGTTCCACGCCCACGCTATGGGCAAGAGGCAAGAAGGAACAGGCTTGTGAAGCCACTGTTCAGTTGAATTGGAAGCCGGGATCCAATTCAAATACGGCGTGAAACGATTTATTGCCACACATTGTCAGACTTTTTGTCAGGGGAAATGCTGTGCAAAGTATTATATTTACAGATATGTGCAATAAGCTGTGTTAATAAACTGATTATTTTTTTCAAATTCTATGTATCTAAACCATTACAATTAAATATTTTAAAACCCTGAGTTGTGCATGTGTTACTTAAAAACTGAAAATTGAAATTGTTATCCATCTACGGCCACTCATGTACAAATGTGATCATTTTACTTCCAAGCAAGCACTTCTTCTGCCTACGGTCCCTGAAAGGATTAAAATTAAACCACACTGAATAAGATTCTGCCGGTAATTGTTTGAAAGAGGAAATGACGACTGGTTTTTTTTTAAGGGGATATTGCTAAGTCCAAAATTCAACTTCAGAGAACATTTCCAATATGATGTATGTCCTAGTACAAGTAGTACAGAAGATCATTAAAGTATGTACTAGCAATCTGTATCCATTTTTCCCTTTGACCAAACCAGGGAATAGAAAGTGACCGTCTACAGGGAGAGGAAATTGAGCTGTCAACTCGAACACACAAACACGTCACTTCCAATTCATAGCACATTAAGTGATCCCAGTGGCAATGAACTGACATGAACCATAGCTAGGACCCTCACTCTAAACTGATTTGAGCTGACTTGACACTTGTACATGTACATATGTACATACTAATAGAATTTCTTGTTGAAGTACAGATGTACATATCATACCTTTCAAGGTACAGTATAATGTACAAATGTACATACATTTTGTGCATGTACATGTACACTATCTGCATACTATAGCCTATACTGTGAAACACACTACATTTACGATGCACGAGTCAATAACACAGAAAACCAGCTGTGTTCAGCTCCGCAGTGGGCCCAGTGTGTAAAACCTTCGGTAATCCTAAATTACAAGCAGATTAATCACAATTTGGAAACTTGTACAAGATTTCCATCTGTTCCATATAAATGCAATGGAGTCTTTTCCTTGTTTCGTTCACGTTCGGTCATGCATGCAATTTCATAGCTCACTGCCCATGCAATCTTTATACAGTAACCTCAAAGCATCATTCATCATATTGAACTCACCCAGCCGGAAAATATTGTCAAAATTCTGCTCTCAATTATAACTACGGGAAGAGTCAGATGCTAAAGTCATTATGAAGCTCTACTGGAAGGGTCCATGCAATGTAATGCAGTCCTTGAAAAAGCACCTTTGTGTCCCATTCAACCTTAATTTTCAATTTTCATTTTGCAATTTTCAAGGGTATTTTTGTGTCATACATGTATTTGGTCTTTATGCTGATGTCAATTTACATATTCATGAGCAAAAGTGCGATGTAATTTCAGGCAGAAACCTAATAATGTTATACCAGTATTTCAGCACCAAATTTTGCCAGATTTTTGAATATTTTTTTTCTTCTTTGGTGATTCATTGTTGTTTCAGTACAAGACAGCAAGCAAATACATGTAAGCAAACTTTTCTCACAAATGTTTTCAGTGAGCTAATGTTGGGGTCACAATTCGAACAGAAAACCCCTAAACTGAACAGTGATTTCCTGAAATGACATCTCAGCAACAACTTTTGTCAGGAAAAGCATAGAAAATGTTTAAATGTTTAAAGGAGGGCACTTTTCAATAAAATTAACCACAATTTCACGAAGGGATGTCAAATAGTTTTTATACATTAGAAAGGAGTAGAAAGTTGCACAAAATATGTTCCCTAGTAAAATTCGTCTCATGGTCCCTTTAAAATATGCTGCTGCCAGAATGATAGATCTTTCTCAAGATCTGAACAATTTCATCGTTTCCTTCTTTCATCATCTGGGTCTTGACAAAGCTCTCCACAGCCCTGTATCATAACCTCTGGGTTGAAAATTCAATATATGTATGAATGTGAAGCCTTATTTCCGACGGCAGAAATTTGTGATGATTCAACTTCTCTTTTGCCCCAAGCTCCAAATAAAAAGAACTCGAAAAACCAAGAACAAAGTGACTGTCTTGCCACGATATTGGGTCAGTATTCAATTTTGGCCGGTGTTTCTTATCAATGGGAAATTGCAATGGGAAATTGGGGAGGAGGGAGGGGGGGGGGGTAGTGAATTCTGGTTCGCTTCGGGGGGTTAGGAGCGAGGGAGGATCTAGGAAGTGCTTTGTTTGGAGTGATACAAGTCCACAATATGAACTTCCTGCAGTGACTTTTAATTAAAAACCTCTGCATGTGCATGTCTTGGATGTGGTGTATTTGTGCATACAAGTAAAGGGCATACAAGTAACTGTAATTTAAAACTATGGCAAAAGATGTATTTTTTCCCCAATTTTCTTACGAGATTTTTGTTTGAATCAGTTCACTTACATTGACCCCACCTCCCACAAAAACCTCCACTTTTTCCTTGATATGTAAATTATTCTTTGAGAACAGAAATACTTGGCTTAGTTAGGGAAGAACAAGCTACCGTAGGACCGTTGCATATTTGGCCAATCATTTGGCTTACATGATGCTGGATCAATGCTGGTTCAGGGGCCATTTATTCGCTTATTCTTGAAGCTGGTCCTTATATCACCATTTATACACCCCCACGTGATCCAGTCTAGACCAATCAGAAGCTATCAACTCTCCAAGGCATTTATTGATAAGATTTAAAACAATGCACTATGATACATGTATTTCTTTTTTTTTTCAAAATGTGTGATCTCTCGAGCCTGTATTCCCAATTCACAAAAAAAATTCTTTCAAGCATATCATGGGAAATTACGTGTGTACAGGTACAAATAATATAGGGAATTATGCAGGACAAACAAGCTGCAATGTCTAGGGAACCACAAAGCGATACCAACATGTACATGTACTACCCTGGAAACAAAGTGGACTTGATACATGTACACATGAAGTGGTTTGTCTTGGTGTTTGGTAAATAGCACTTTTGGCAAACTTTGGGTAATTACATCCCTGGGTACATGTAGGAGGGTGGTAGACTGCTATGACCCAGACCACCTGTCTATTCCCTTCAGGAGCAGTGATAGGCACCCTTGTTGTATTACTATCCCCCAGCAGGGTACCAGACAGCACCCCATCATGGACAACACTGGGTGCCTCTTGTTTGTGTGGTCCACCCAATGGGTTAACTGACACCCAGTAGGGTACCAGACAGCACCTCTTGTTTGTGTGGTCTACCCACTGGGTTAACTGACACCAAGTAGGGTACCAGACAGCACCCTATCATGGACAACACCGGGTGCATCTGTTTCCTGTGGTCCACCCAATGGGTTAACTGACACCCAGTAGGGTACCAGACAGCACCCTATCATGGACAACACTGGGTGCATCTGTTTCATGTGGTCCACCTAATGGGATAACTAACCCCAAGTGGGGTACCACACAAGGGCGTTTTCGAATCCCTGTTCTTGACAACACTCGGGTTAACCCGACAC